TGTTTACAGGGGAGACTCTGCCAAAATTTTGGTAGAAAGTCTCGGGTTTTAGTACATGGGCCCGGCATCTGCGGAATGCCGGATATTTAGGCGGGATCCGACCCGGGTTCCGAGGAAATCCGGGGCGAGTCCTGTCACCAAATTTATCAAGTGTGCATGCATCACAAGAATTTTGCGTTTTTTTTTCCCTTCTTGCACATGATATGAAAGCTTGTCGACAACAGTTGTAGGTTATTTGTAATGCTATTTTTTTTTCTATGACTTATGAATGACATTGGTATTGTTTAAATTATAAGGATATTTGGTTGTCATTTTTTTAACTAAAGCTTTTAACCTTTCAAAATTGCACCTTCGCTAAAAAATTCTTGGATCTATCAGTGCCCAAAAGTGAGTTTTCTAGATAAATATATATATGCGTTCATTCTCTCATGCAATTAACATTATATCTGTTCTATTAGTTGATTTGATTAAATAGAAATTTATAATAAAATAATACATATGTTCTAGAAAGTTTGGTTTACAATCGTACACTATTTGTGTACATATGTTTGGTTTATAATAAATTTATAATAAAATAATACATATGTTTTATAATGGATGCCACTATTATTTGTGTCTATTAAATTAAACACACTTTCAAAAGTTTAGGTATTGAAGAGGTTATGCAAATAGTATACACCTAAAAGACTCTAGAATCTTTTTCATTTTGTTTCTATTGTATTAAGGCTTGGTCCAATGGATGTTGAGACGTTCAAAACTAGACATGGGTGCTATGCGGTGCAAGTTATGTTCTAGGTGAAACGTTATACCTTATTGACCCATTAATTTGAACTTTCTTTAAAACGAAGAATAAATCAGATGGTTCTTTTTTTTTTGGCTCAGAAATTATATGGTTCACAACATCCTAAATTGTTATTCAACTCTCTCTCCCTCTCCTACAGTTATGAAATTTTAGAGAGAGGAAGAGAGAGAAACTTCACTGCAAGATAGTGTCGACCTAAAAGACTCTAGAATCTTTTTGATTTTGTTTCTATTGTATAGCAGTAATATAATGTTGAGACATTCAAAACTCGACATCTTATACTCAACCCAACACAAGTCAGGCAAGTAGGTCTGAAACTAGTTTATTTATCAACAACCAGAAAAGAAAAACTAGTTTAATTTGTCAGTTCTGTCAATGGGGTAAAATAGTTGAGGTTTGAACTTTTGACTTGGACTTTTAGTAAAAAATAGTCGTCAACTTGTTACACCTAAATACAAATTATATATATACTAAACGGCAATCCAACTAAACACTGTTCTTAAGCACAGTGAATTTACGAAAATGCCTTTATTTTAAACTGTTCAGCCAGCTCTTTTTTCCCCTTCCACAGTAAAATTACGGTTTTGCCCTTGGCTGATTGTTTTCTGTTTTCCCCGTTTTGCCCTCTCTTTCCTTCGGATGTAACTAGCGGCTGTTTGTTGTTGAGAGGCGTCTGGTTCGATTTCAACTGGCTGGTTGGAGAGTTTCGGGGGCAAGGATGGGAGAGCCGGGTTGCTTCTTCGATGTTCATATGGAGGCTTCGACCTATGTTGCACAGACACGGAAACGGGGACACGGGAACGCGAACGGCGACATAGCGACACGGAAAATCTCAAAAAAGTAGGACACGGACACGGCTAGGACACGGCAATTAAAATAATAATTAATTCTCAATATTTCAAGACAGAGAAACAAGACTTTTATTAAAAATAAAAAATCAAATACAGATAAAATCATACAAAGATACAAAACACATCAAAACAGAGAAACAAAATAAAACATGGTTCACATTCATTATGTCTAATAGTCTAATACCCAATTAATAAAACAAATTCAAATATACTCAACAACTAATAACAAGACTTTTATTAAAAATAAAAAAAGCTCCAAACAGATACAATCATACAAAATACCCACACACAAAAAACACAACAGAGAAACAAAATTAAAAATCTGTGAAGCCTAACCTGAGTTTGCAAGAAGGAATCGTCCTTCTTGGTCACGATTTGCAAGAAAGAATCGTCCTTCTTGTTGTGTTTCTCTTAAAAAAAAACAGAGGAAATAATCTTCACCTCACCACCAAATTCACCTCTTCTACTACTGTGAAGAGGGAGATAAGAAAAGAAAGAGTGCTGCTATTTCCACCCACCTGTCCAATTTCCATACCCATCTTATCTTCAAAATTTTAAAGACAAATTTACCCATGTATAAAATGACTTCTAAGGTCACTGATCGGTGCATATTTACATATCATTTTGTACCCTTCTAGCTTATGATTTGGTTATGTTTTTGAGTTAAACTTGTGCTTTTAATCCTTTTTGTGTTTATCTTTCAATTCATTGAGCTTTAGGTAATAATGAGGGCTTTGGATAGTAAATGATGCAATCCATGCATGTTAGGGCCTAATTTGGATGAATGGATGAAGAGCTTAAAGACAAACTCAATTTTGGCTACAGTCCCCTGCCAGCCCAGTTTCGTAGGTCATATTGCAAGCTTTGTTTCAGCAACCTACATAGCTCGGATGAGGCCACATTCTTCATGAAAGTTGTTCCAATGGGTGTGTAATATAACATATCCAAAATTCAGCCCCATTGGATAAATATGGAGTCTGTTACCTAGCAAACACAGAGCCATACTCAGGATGGATTTTATCAGCGCGCAAAATGAGTTAGCAATTTGTTTTGGCC